ATTATTATTATTATTATTATTATTATTATTGTTATTAATTTAGAGACCTGGAGCACAGATCCAATTCCCTAGATCAAGAGCCTCTCACCACATACGTACGTACTACTTCTAATAATAATAATAATAATAATAATAATAGTAATAATTATTATTATTATAGCAATAATAATCCAGTATAATAGTAATAATAACAGTAAGAAATTTCCAAAGGCTGCCAGTAGTTGGCACCACCATCAGCAAAACATTGGTAACCACTACTAGTACACTTTTCACCTGTCCAGACTTAAGTAGTCTTAAGTAGGCATTTCTACCTGAAATGCCTCGGCATGATTGTGGCTTTCTTTGCTCCAATCATGTTATGATATGTAAACACACATTGTAACCTTTGCAAAGAAATATATATTTTATTTATTTAACCCTTTGACTGTTTTCGACGTATAAATACGTCTTACGAGCCAATGTTTCTGACGTATATATACTCAATAATTCTAGCGGCTTCAAATCAAGTGGGAGAAAGCTGGTAGGCCCACATGTGAGAGAATGGGTCTGTGTGGTCAGTGTGCACCACATAAAAAAAATCCTGCAGCACACATTGCGTAATGAGAAAAAAAAAACTCTGATTGTTTTTTTGGAATAAAACGCCGACTTTGAGGTGTATTTTCGTATAGTATTTATCGTTGTATTCGCGTTTTCATGGTCATAGTTGATAAAATGGAAAACATGTTACAGAAATAGAGATGATTTTCATTACTTTTACGATGAAAACGACCTTGAAACTGAGCTCAAAGTAGCGGAAATGTTCGATTTTTACCAATGTTCAAGAGTAAATAAATCACACCACACGTCCAATACACGTCAACTGGGGAGTCTAATATTCTTTCACTAGTGCACTGATATTATTTATACCATTTTTACAATAATGCAGTCGTCTGCATAACAGTAAATTTTGTATTTTTTTGTATGAATAAAAAATCAAAATAGAAAGCAATAATAATATAAGAGGGGCCTAGAGATGTGACTAATGAACAGAGCATATGTTATTTTAGTGCCACGAATGTCTACCTTGTTCATTCTGGACCCTATTTTGAAATTGGCATCTTTTTTATTTTGCGTGAAATTGGCCAAATTGCCAATTTCTGACCACCATATTGGGTAGTCCAAATTAGTAAATGGGAGGTTTCTTGTGCTCAGCTGATAGATAAAATGGAGTTCCAAAGAAATAGCTATGAGTTTGGTCAACTGGAACAATGGAATTGGCTGAAAATTGGGCTCAAAGTCGGCGAAATCGCCGATACGCATATGTCGCCGAGACCGCTAACTTCGCGGGAGCATAATTCCACGAGTTTTCGACCAAATTTCGAATTTTTGGTGTCATTACCATCGGGAAAAGATTCTCTATCATTTCATAAGAAAAAATAATTTTTTTTTTTTTCAAAAATTGAGCGACATAGAATGACAGTTTCAGAGAGGGGCCTGAAACAGTCAAAGGGTTAAGGAACCTCCCTTGAGGGGGAAGTTCGCATCCTGAAATTTCTTTCATATCCTGAAGCAAAAAATCAACCGAACAACAGTTCGTATCCTGAAAAATTTGCATGGTGGGGCGTTCGTAACCCGAGGTTCCACTGTACAGTGGTATCCTGAGTTTCGTACAGCTCTCAACTCAAACAATTATGTAATTGTATTATTGTAATTTCTTTTGTAAGTGTATTTTTGGGGGTCTGAAATGGATTAATCTAATTTACATTATTCCTCATGGGAACAAATTTGTTCAGTAACGGCTCTCGAACAGCCTTCTGGAACGACTTATGGCCAAAACTCGGGGTACCACTATACATGTGGACATGGAAAAAAAAATTCCTGCAAGGAGGGAAGAAAAAAGGTGGGGTGTGCTAAAAAAAAAACATAGTGGTTCAAGGCAGTGAGCGTCGATGGGCATCACTGCATTCCTTCCTACGTCTGGACAGATACTGCAACACAGGAGACGTTGCTGCGGCTGAACTGTGATGTAACAGGGTACGATCTCCTTTGGAACAGTGAAGCAGTCATCGTAGTAGCCGCTGCAGGGTTCACTCATCCTAGGGCACAACCTGCTGGTGCCCTCGAGTGAGGTGTTGTCAGTACTCAGCAACTGGGCAGAACTTCTTCTGGCAAGCGACTCAGGCAGACATTTCCCAACTGGTACTGTTGCTGTGGCCGTCACTGCCGGCGAGTGTGGAGTGAGTCGTGGCAGGGATGACTCTGGCGAAACATCTGGAAGTTGTAACTGCATACACCATACTGCAGTGAGTGGGCTAGCAGTCAAAGTGACATCATCTTTGTGCACGCTGCTCACAGAAGCTATGACATGAGTTAGACAGTCACCTGCCAACAGGGCTACTTGCGGTTTGATGAGTGTTATTCTCTTGACAGTTGGAGTTATAGCAGAGGTTAGTCAAAATATTTTCAGATTGGTTCTCTACACATAACTGCACTCTGATGGTCAGGAGGTGAAGCGGAACGAGTCTCAATGGGAATCGTAGCAGGTTCAACTCAGCAGGTCATCTATGAGTGGCGAACAATAAGAGCTTTCTGTATAAGGGACTCAGACACTCTTAATTGACTAATGACCATAACTGACTAATTGACCATTGACAGCTTACTAATGTCAGCTGTCAACGGTCAAGGGTGTAACACATGGGTGCTACCCAGTGGTCTGGATGCAGACCATACATCAGGACACATGGAAAACTTGGACACACCTACTGCACATGTGACACATGGTTTGCACAGCAAATGACGCTTTTCTGTGCAAAAATCAACACTAAGCCATCCACGAACATGTGAGAACACTAACTGAGAGGAAATTAACATGTGACATACACCTTCTCTCAGTCTTCTCGACAGTACTGAAACAAAATGCTCACTGTGAAACTAGAACACTCGATGTGACACGTGGTGATGTCATGGGGTGACATCACAAGGTGACGTCAGACAGCAAGGTGATGTCAGTAGACATTGCAAGGTGACGTTGTGAGGGATGTCATGGGGTGACATCAGGCAAACATCATGACGTCAGGGGAGTGGTGTGGGCAGCAAGTGGCTTGGGTCATCCACACGTGGCTTTGAGTGACCTCAGGCACTCGGATGCATAGCTCTGGCAAAGAATTCACACTGAATTCACAGAGAAACAGCAGAGAGGGAGGTGAGGAACAGCCACTTCCTCCTCCCTACCTACAAACTTGGAAAATAGTGCAGATTCTACCACCATGGACACAGAAATCACCACAGAACTCACCTCTGATGCTGAAATAGCCATGCTGAGCTGAACATTAACAGCAGCAACATACAGATGACTGAACACGTGACTTGAGAACAGCGTGGGGCACTGTTAAGTTCCAGGTGACGCCACAAATATCTCTCAAAGAAATTCAGCAAATTTCGGCTAGCTCCTGCTTGTACCGGTGTCTGGATGCTGAGACTTGCAGACACGACCTCAGGATAACTCGTTGAGAGACTGATGCTTCTTGTATGGGACGATGAAGTGAAAACATCATCGTCTTCCTTCCCCTCTCCGGGCAAACACACGTGCTGCAACCACCACTGTCACCAATTATAATGGGTTATAATTACATATGGTGATTAAGGCTCTCTATCTAGGACTTAACAAAGACAAGTGGACATTGTTGCATGTTATACAGTACAGTGGTTCCTTGAGTCACAATATTAATCCCTTCCAGAAGATGTGTCATATCTCCAAAATATAGTAACTCAAAACCCCAAGTACGTGGTTTTATGGTAATTTGTTCGAAGATGCCAGAACACAACCTGCCCTTGGACTCTTATTGTGTAAACATGCTGGTGTTTTCTGAGAGATACACAAGCACAAGCTGCAGCTTGAAATATCCAGAGGTATTGGCACCCAGGAGGAGAGCAAACCTACCTGTCAAAGACTTAGGCCCAGGTAAAGTGGCAGGATAGGCAGAACAGGGCAGGGCAAGCAGGCTGGGAGGCAGGCAGGCAGGCTGGGAGGCAGGCAGGTGCAGGCAGGCTGGGAGGCAGGCAGGCTGGGAGGCAGGCAGGCTGGGAGGCAGGCAGGCTGGGAGACAGGCAGGCTGGGAGGCAGGCAGGCTGGGAGGCAGGCAGGCTGGGAGGCAAGTAGGCAGGCAGGCATGCTATGGGACAAGCAGGCTGTACGCCAGGTAGGCTGAGAGCCAGGCAGGCTGGAGCTCGGGGGCTGACAGGGAGGGATTCAGGGAAACAGAAAGGCAGGCAAGGAGCTAAGGAGGCAGGGAGGTAGACTTAGCCAGACAGACAGGCAGGTAGGGAAGGATGCAGGCAAACAGACAGACAGGCAGATGCAGACAGACAGACACAGGCAGATTGGTAAAGAACTGTAGACTTAACACTCAGGTTGTCACTGTCTCTCACCGTCAGTGTCTGATACATGTATGGTCTCCCTCTCTCCATTCCACTCTCCCTCCTGCCCTCCCTCACTCCCTCCCACTCTCCCTCACTCCCTCCCACTCACCTCCCACCACCCCTCCAACATTCACCTTCAAAAAACCCTCCCTCTCACTCTCCTCCAGCACACCCTTCCTCTCGCTCACCTCCAGCACACCCTCCCTCTCACTCACCTCCAACACACCCTCCCTCTCACTCACCTCCAACTCACCCTCCCTCCCACTTACCTCTAACACCCTCCACCATCACTCCATTTAAGAACTTTTCATGAGCCAACCTCAATTTTTTCATTGCAACTCAAAACTAAATTTCTTTATGAGGGAAAATTGTAACTCAAGGGAGCACTGTATATCCAAATGTAGCACAGGAAATATTTTTGCAAGATGAGAGATGTAAAGAAATGGAATGAGTTGAACAGTAACATAGTAGAAGTGAACTCTATACAGGAGTTTAAAGAGAGAGTTGGAGTTAATTTAAAAATCCAAATAAGTGATTATAGTATTTGATTATTGTAGGACTTTGTGTAAGAGAATATTATTGATAATAACTTTGTGTTTCAGGAGCAGTATGATCCGGTGTTTGAGCGACAAGTTCAGTCAAGCCAGGTGGTGACTCTTAATGATGTGAGAAGTGATCGTCTAGCCAAGGGCAACACTTACAGAATTATATATCACACTAAAGATAACTACAAGAAGATCACTAAAGCCCTCGGCTTAATGGATGACTTCAAAGTAAGAAAGTTTTGCACTTTCTGTGAATAGAACATTTAAGACCAGATATATTTTTAATTTTCTGTAGTTGTATTATTTTAATATACAGAAATTTTAATTTGTGTCACACTACTTAGTTAACCCTTTCAGGATCCCTCCCATAGATTACAGCTTTGAAGCCAGGGTCCAAGCCTTAGATCTATGCCAAAATTCTAGCGGCTTCAAATTTAGCGCGAGAAGGCTGGTAGGTGTACATCTAAGAGAATGGGTCTGCGTGGTCAGTGTGCACGGTGAAGAAAAAATTGGGGCACCCGCATTGCATTGTGGGAACGCCATCTCAGTACGCTTTGTTCATCATGCATTGCAGCAAGGAAGCTCTCACTCCCTGGTGAATTGGGACACTCCTCTTCCCAAGTTATAGTTCTAACACTGATGGAAGTGGATCTGAAGAGGAATTCTATGGTTTTGAACCAAAGTACAATGATACCATTTACCATATGGTACAGGGAACCTAATGGAAATAAGTCACTCTGTATGACTTTTTGGATTATCCTAGGTTCTCTCCACACATGCTGCTATGTATGATAATCTATGTAATTGTATTTGTGTATACCTGAATAAACTTACAATGCCACATGTGTTCAAGTTTATTCAGGTATACACAAATACAGTTACATAGATTATCATACATAGCAGTATAGGTGTAAAGATCCTAGGATAACCCAAGAAAGTCAGTGACTTATTTCCATTGGGGTCCCTGTATCTGTACCACATGGTACCCTATACCATATGGGACTGAGTACATCCTGCAGCCCTACACCTGGAATAGACATTGAAAGTGACGATGATGTGGCTACAATTGGGATAGATAGACCACATGCATCAGTAGGTGGTGGTGGTGCCACATGCATGCAGCATGCGAGCGTGCATCATGCGGCACCAGCCCAGACTGGGACCCAAGCCACTGACTCAGCAGTTTCAGGACAAAGAAGCATTGTCATCCACTGGTGGAAGGAGACAACTGTGGCTGAAATGTATTTGGTTTTTGCAGCAATAATGCTTATGCCTCATGTCTGTAAGCATAATATAAAATCATACTGGTCCACAGATGAGTAAGATACCACTGTGCATGACACCTTGTTTTAAAGACTTTTACAGACTGTAGCAGTTCTAGGAACATGTCCAGTGACTGTAAATATGTAAATATATAATAGAACATTACTAATGTGCAACTTTTTTTTTTTTTTTTTGTAAACAACTATTGTAAACAAAATAATTATGAAAATATTTGTATGGTTATTGTGTTGAATACAACAAGTGTACATATATACACTATGCATTATATTGGTCTCACAGGCCAATTAGAAAAGGAAAAAGTAACAAAAAAAGTCAAATAAAAAGATGCGACTTTACGGAAGTCACTGATGTTGCCACCACCCGGTCATTGAGGGTGAACTTCACACCTCTATGTCTTGGAAACTACTGTAAGGAATGGCATTTCTTTTTTTTTAGGGTATGGAAAAGAAAACTGTTTGACCTATTGGTAAAGTTGTAGTTTATTTCACCCTTTCACTGTCCATACTCCTAAAATTAATATTTGTTTATTTATTTATTTATTTAGTAATTTTAGCATACATACAGAGGTACAAAAAAATACAGGTAAGAGCAGCATGCCAAAGCCACTTACATGCATAGCATTACGGGCTGGCTTAAAATTAACTTAAGATTAACTAAGCAATGATGAAATCAGTGATAAGACATTATTGTAAACAGATAACTATAAAGCACAAATGAGTATTACAAAGACAGGTCATATGGTTGCATGCATTGCTGTTCATTCAGTAGAATGGAGTATTCTGTTAGGTAGTGTATTTAAAAAAATAACAAAGTTAGATTGGGTCCTAGGTTTAACATTTGTGTGATATAATTGTGAGTAACATTTAGGATATACAATTTATAAGGTTCAGTTATTCAGTATTTATTTGGTTTTGAGTGAGTAAATGATCTTTGAGAAGAGACTTGAATTTATAAACAGGTAGTGTTTCTTTTATATTTACAGGTAATGAATTCCAGATTTTAGGGCCTTTTATGTGCATTGAGTTTTTGTATAGCGTGAGATGGACACGAGGAACATCAAAGAGTGATCTGTGCCTTGTGTTATGGTCATGTGTTCTGTTGAGGTTGGCAAGGAGATGTTTGAGGGAGGGTTAATATCAGAGTTAAGTGTTCTATGTATGTAATAGGTGCAGTAATAAGTATGGATGTTTTGTATGGTGAGTAGGTTAAGTGTTTTGAATATTGGTGGAGTGTACTGCCTGTAGTGAGAATTTGTTATCGTTCTAACTGCAGCCTTTTGTTGGGTAATTAGTGGTCTGAGATGGTTAATTGTTGTTGAGCCCCATGCACAAATTCCATAGGTAGATAGGGTAAAATAAGAGAGTGATAAAGGGCCAGGAGGGCTGACTGTGGAACATAGTACTGTATCTTCGATAGTATGCCTACAGTCTTGGAAATTTTCATAGAAATTTGTTGTATATGTGTATGAAATTTGAGTCTATTCTCAAGGTGGATTCCTAAGAATTTTCCCTCTGTTTGCTTTGTGAAAAGGTGATCTGTTTATCGTTATGTTAAGAGGTACATCTGTAGCTCTGTTTCCAAACTGAATGCAGTAGGTTTTGTCAATGTTTAGTGTAAGTTTGTTAGTTCTCATCCAGGTAGATATTTTCTGTAATTCGGTGTTTACAGTATTGGCTAGCGTGACTGGGCTCGGGTGAGAGAAGACGTATGTAGTGTCATCTGCAAAAAGTGTAGGTTTGAGTAATTGCGAAGCATTTGGTAGGTCATTTATGTATAGGAGAAAGAGAGGAGGGCCAAGGACACTTCCCTGTGGGACACCAACTGTAATTGGTTGAGCGGAAGAGCTTGCCCCATTTGCGTACACATATTGGCTTCTGTTGCTGAGGTATTACTTGAGGTAGTTGAGGGAGTGCCCTCTAATACCATAGTGTGACAATTTTACGTGGAGCAAGTCATGGTCAACTGTATCAAAAGCTTTACGTAAGTCAATGAAGATCCCCAGTGGGACTTCTTTTTTCTCTATTGCAGTGTATATATGTTCTAGCATGTGTATAATAGCATCATTAGTATTTTTATTAGGCCTGAATCCAATTTGGCAGGGGTTGAGAATGTTTTGGGAGATGTGGTAGGAGTAGATTCGTTTATGAATTAATTTTTCGAAGATTTTTGAGAGAGGGTGTAAATTGGATATTGGCCTATAGTTATTCAACTCTGTTTGGTCTCCTCCTTTATGGATCGGGGTGACCCTTGCTATTTTGAGAACTGTAGGGAAGGTGGAGGATTCAATGGATTTGTTAAAGAGTGTTGCAATGATTGGTGATAGTACTTATGACACTTTTTTGTATATAAAGGGTGGTAAGGTATTTAAATCTCCTGCCTTGTTTTTTAGTGTGTTGATAATAAGGGGGACTTTGTATGGGTTAGTCGGAGCTAGGAACAGTGTGTTCGGGTAGTTGCCAGTGAGGTAGTCATTTGGTGGGGTATCTGAGCTTGGGATTTTATTGGCAAGGTTTTGTCCTATAGTGGAGAAGAAATCATTGAGTCTGTTTGCTGTTTCTTTTGGTGGGAGTTGGGGTTCATCTGATTTTGCTAATTTTATTTCGCTATTTCGTGATATCTTTTTTGTTCCCAGAATTTCTGATAGGGTCTTCCAGGTCTTTTTTATATCACCTCGTAAGTTGGATAATCTGTTCTCATAATACAATTTTTTTGCCCTTCTTATGAAGCTGGTTAGGATTGACGAGTAACGTTTTGTTTGGTCTCTGGTTATGTGACCCATTCTGTACTGTTTTTCATATCGGTGTTTTGTATTTATGGATTTGAGAATGCTGGGTGTTAGCCAGGGACTGTTCAGTCTCTTAGCTGTCATCTGTTTAGTTTTTTTAGGGCAGTGCTTGTTATAGAGGTATTAACATTATTACAGTATTAACATTTAACCCCTTAACTGTCCAAACGTAGATCTACGTTCTCTCACCCAGCGCTCCGAATATTTTGAAAATTAAAAAAATAATTTTTTTCTCTTAAATGAAGAGGACATTTTTTTACATAAAGTAATGAAAAAAAATTCTAGTCAGTACTTAGAGATATAAGGCCGCAAAGTCAGCACTTGTCAGTCATCTGACAGCAACATGAGGCGCTGCCACTTGCAAATATGTTGCCGATACACCTTTTTATCTCATTTTTTTTATTTGTATAATTTTTATGTTCTGATAATGACAATTTGTGGTAGTTCTTGTGATTACATAGTTAATCTTTGTTCTGATACTAATACAGTGGACCCCCGCCTTACGAACGCATCGCGTTACATTAAATCTGCCATATGAAGCATTTGAACGCAAAAATTTTGCCTTGCCTCACGTTAAAAAACTCGCCTTACATGATTCGTCCAGGACGTGTCCCACATGTGGCCTCAGCGCCAGTGTTTACAAGCCAGCCAGTGCGGTTGCATCTATGCATACATTCGGTACATTTCACAATATCCCAGTGTTTTTAGTGCTTGTAACTGCAAAATAAGTCACCATGGACCCCAAGAAAGCTGCTAGTGCCATCCCTGTGGTAAAAAGGGTGAGAATTAGTATGGAATTGAAAAAAGAGATTAAGGAAATGTGTGCAAAGTGGGTTGAGCTGCAAACCTTTACGGATGAAAATCACCCTATCACAGCTACTGCAAGCCGTGTTGGCAACCTGTATAATGACAATATTATGGCTTATTTTAGGAAAGTCTTAAAGGAACGGGAGGTACAGAGCTCTATGGACAGATTTGTTGTGCGACAGAGGTCCAGTGACTCTCAAGCTGGTCCTAGTGGTAAAGGGTTAACCCTTTACCACTAGGACCAGCTTGAGAGTCCTAGTGGTAAAGGGTTAAAAGAAGAAGGGAAGTAACCCTGGAAAAGAACTTACTACCTCAAGTCCTAATGGAAGGGATTCCCCTTCTAAACAATAACAACTTCCACACACTCCCCTCCTGCCATCCTATCAATCATCACCAGATCTTCAATAAAGGTAAGTGTCATGTATTCTATTCTTAGTAGAATAGCAATTGTGCATGTCTTCTTCAGTTTGTGTATTAAAATTAATATTTCATGTGGTAAAAAAATTTTTTATTCATACTTTGGGGCATCAGGAATGGATTAATTTGATTTCCATTATTTCTTATGGGGAAAATTAATTTGGCTAACGATAATTTCGGCTTACGATGAGCTCTCAGGAACGGATTAATATCATAAGGCGGGGGTCCACTGTATTAGGTACTGAAATAGTGCTCAAATAGTCACACAGTGGCAGGTGAACATTTTTACCTACCTTAGTCAATATATGTAGTATTTATAGGTCCCAGCATTGTTTTGGATACACTGGAGTATATATGTAGAAGGTTAGTAGACAGCAACCACCCAGGGAGGTACTGCCGTTCTGCCAAGTGAATGTAAAACGAAAACCTGTAATCGTTTTACATGATGGTAGGATTGCTGGTGTCTTTTGTCTGTCTCATAAATATGCAAGATTACAGGTATGTCTTGCTACTTCTACTTACACTTAGGTCACATTACACATACATGTACACATTTATTTACACACACTCATCTGAGTTTTCTTTGATTTTATCTTAATAGTTCTTGTTCTTATTACCTTTCCTTGGGGAAGTGGAATAAGAATCTTTCCTCCGTAAGCCATGCGTGTTGTAAAATTCAACTAAAATGCCAGGAACAGTGAGCCAGTAACCCCTTTTCCTGTAATAATTACTAAAAAGAATAAGAAGAAAATTGTCAAAGTGGGAAGCTTGAATGTGCGTGGATGTTGTGCAAATGATAAGAAAGAGATGATTGTGGATGTTATGAATGAGAAGAAGCTGGATGTCCTGGCTTTAAGTGAAACAAAGCTGAAGGGGGTGGGAGAGTTTCAGTGGAGAGGAATAAATGGGATTAGGTCAAGGGTTTCAAATAGAGTTAGAACTAAAGAAGGAGTAGCAATAATGTTGAAGGATAAGATATGGCAGGAAAAGAGGGACTATAAATGTATTAATTCAAGGATTATGTGGAGTAAAATAAAGGTTGGATGTGAAAAGTGGGTTATAGTAAGTGTATATGCACCTGGAGAAGAGAGAAGTGTAGAGAGAGAGAGAGATTTTGGGAAATGTTGAGTGAATGCGTGGGGAGTTTTAAGCCAAGTGTGAAAGTACTTGTGGTTGGGGATTTCAATGCTAAAGTGGGTAAAAATGTTGTGGAGGGAGTAGTAGGTAAATTTGGGGTGCCAGGGGTAAATGTAAATGGGAAGCCTTTAATTGAGCTATGTGTAGAAAGAGATTTGATAATAAGTAATACATATTTTATGAAAAAGAGGATAAATAAATATACAAGGTATGATTTAGCATGTAATGAAAGTAGTTTGTTAGATTATGTATTGGTGGATAAAAGGTTAATGAGTAGGCTCCAGGATGTACATGTTTATAGAGGGGCAACTGATATTTTGATTTTTTTTTTTGTTATGGTTGACAAGAGGGGTGGCAACAACAAGTAGGAGGGTGAAAAAAAAAAAGGAAAACAATTTACTTCTATTCGGTGTTAGTAAACTTATATGAGGTAAAGGGTTAATATAAGCCAATTAGATTCGGGCATTAGTTGTGTTTACAAGACGCATGGGGCTACGGAGGAAAGAGTTATTGTGCATTTCAATGGATAAAAAGGAAAAGTTTTTATAAGACAAAGAGAATTTAGAGAGAGTAAAATCAAAAGAAACTCAGATGAGTGGTGTATAATAAAGTGTACAGTATGTAGAGTGGAGACCTAAGAATTGTAAGATATAAGTAAACAAAGACAGTGCCAGTTGAAGCTGGCAATATTGGATGCAAAAAGACATCAGCGATCTTACCAGCATGAAGAACAATCACAGGCTTTGTGTTTTACACTCACTTGGCAGGACGGTAGTACCTCCCTGGATGGTTGCTGTCTACCAACCTACTACCTACTGATATATCGGATCATTATTTAGTTGTAGCTACAGTTAGAGTAAGAGGTAGATGGGACAAGAGGGAGGTGGCAACAACAAGTAGGAGGGAAGTGAAAATGTATAAACTAAGGGAGGAGGAAGTTCGGGTGAGATATAAGCGACTATTTGCAGAGAGATGGGCTAGTGCAAAGATGAGTAGTGAGGGGGGTTGAAGAGGGTTGAATGAGTTTTAAAAATGCAGTATTAGAATGTGGGGCAGAAGTTTGTGGTTATAGGAGGGTGGGGGCAGGAGGAAAGAGGAGTGATTGGTGGAATGATGAAGTAAAGGGTGTGATAAAAGAGAAAAAGTTAGCTTATGAGAGGTTTTTACAAAGCAGAAGTGTTACAAGAAGAGCAGAGTATATGGAGAGTAAAAGAAAGGTGAAGAGAGTGGTGAGAGAGTGCAAAAGGAGAGCAGATGATAGAGTGGGAGAGGCACTGTCAAGAAATTTTAATGAAAATAAGAACAAATTTTGGAGCGAGTTAACCAAGTTAAGAAAGCCTAGGGAACGTATGGATTTGTCAGTTAAAAACAGAGTAGGGGAGTTAGTAGATGAGGAGAGGGAGGTATTAGGTAGATGGCGAGAATATTTTGAGGAACTTTTAAATGTTGAGGAAGAAAGGGAGGTGGTAATTTCATGCACTGGCCAGGGAGGTATACCATCTTTTAGGAGTGAAGAAGAGCAGAATGTAAGTGTGGGGGAGGTACGTGAGGCATTACGTAGAATGAAAGGGGGTAAAGCACCCGAAACTGATGGGATCATGACAGAAATGTTAAAAGCAGGGGGGGATATATTGTTGGAGTGGTTGGTACTTTTGTTTAATAAATGTATGAAAGAGGGGAAGGTACCTAGGGATTGGCAGAGAGCATGTATAGTCCCTTTATATAAAGGGAAGGGGGACAAAAGAGATTGTAAAAATTAGAGGAATAAGTTTACTGAGTATACCAGGAAAAGTGTACAGTAGGGTTATTATTGAAAGAATTAGAGGTAAGACAGAATGTAGGATTGCGGATGAGCTAGGAGGTTTCAGAGTGGGCAGGGGATGTGTAGATCAAGTGTTTACATTGAAGCATATATGTGAACAGTATTTAGATAAAGGCAGGGAAGTTTTTATTGCATTTATGGATTTAGAAAAGGCATATGATAGAGTGGATAGGGGAGCAATGTGGCAGATGTTGCAAGTATATGGAATAGGCGGTAAGTTACTAAATGCTGTAAAGAGTTTTTATGAGGATAGTGAGGCTCAGGTTAGGGTGTGTAGAAGAGAGGGAGCCTACTTCCTGGTAAAAGTAGGTCTTAGACAGGGATGTGTAATGTCACCATGGTTGTTTAATATATTTATAGATGGGGTTGTAAAAGAAGTAAATGCTAGGGGGTTCGGGAGAGGGGTGGGATTAAATTATGGGGAATCAAATACAAAACGGGAATTGACACAGTTACTTTTTGCTGATGATACTGTGCTTATGGAAGATTCTAAGGAAAAATTGCAAAGGTTAGTGGATGAGTTTTGGAGTGTGTGTAAAGGTAGAAAGTTGAAAGTGAACATAGAAAAGAGTAAGGTGATGAGGGTATCAAATGATTTAGATAAAGAAAAATTGGATATCAAATTGGGGAGGAGGAGTATGGAAGAAGTGAATGTTTTCAGATACTTGGGAGTTGATGTGTCAGCAGATGGATTTATGAAGGATGAGGTTAATCATAGAATTGATGAAGGAAAAAAGGTGAGTGGTGCGTTGAGGTATATGTGGAGACAAAAAACGTTATCTATGGAGGCAAAGAAGGGAATGTTTGAAAGTATAGTAGTACCAACACTCTTATATGGGTGTGAAGCTTGGGTGGTAAATGCAGCAGCGAGGAGGCAGTTGGAGGCAGTGGAGTTCTGAGCACCTCTTCAATAACAATGATTATGTGTGAGTGAGGTGAAAGTGTTGAATGATGAAAGTATTTTCTTTTTGGGGATTTTCTTTCTTTTTGGGTCACCCTGCCTCGGTGGGAGATGGCCGACTTGTTAAAAAAAAAAAAATACTGAAATTTAATGTAGACCAAAGGCTGACTATGAAGACAAAAACTATGCATAATGATGTATTGTACTCTTATTGTAGTCAATGTTTTGCTTAGGACAAGATTTATAAAGTCTAGTGAAAAACATACAAAACATAAATTTATGTATATGTTTTGTAGCAAGGCAGGGAGGAAGGAAGGAAAGAAGGTGGGAAAGAAAGCATGAAGGAAGGGAGGAGGAGGACAAAGAGAGGAGGAGGACAAAGAGAGGAGGAGGACAAAGAGAGGAGGAGGAGGAGGAGGACAAAGGGAGGAGGAGGAGGAGGAGGAGGACAAAGGGAGGAGGAGGAGGAGAGATCAGGTGTCAGTTTGCTGTGGGAATAATGATGATGATAATTTTATTTCATCATGATACATGTTTGTACAAAGGAGTAAAACAATTGGGCGTACATGCCAAAATCCCTTATATATGCAGAACATATAAGTTGTCACATTTCCAACACTTACAAGAAACTACTGTTTGAAGTCAAGTTAGAAACAACTGTGAATCAACCTAAAATGACCCTTAATTCAAGTTGTGCTATCACATCATCCCATCTAACCCCTCCCTTTCCTTCCCTATACAAGCTTGTACTTTTTATGTGGCCTTACTGCTCACTGTCTCAGGGTTAGGGTTCTTTATTAATTTAACCATTTTTATCTTTTCGTTTAGGCTGGAGTTCCAAGAACGGGATACAAGGGCGTAATTACCTTTTTCTACGGAGGCCTCAGAATATTTTTGTCTCCGGGTAATAACTGGAAAGGTTACAACCCATCCTGGAGCTAGCAGCATTATGTGAACTAGTGATATGTTTAGAGAACACCAAGGACCTGCTCTGTACCTTCATTATATTTTAAAATATATAAAGTATGTATTGTAAATTGATAGATAATATTTGTTATATAAATCAGGTTAGGATGCACTTTGTTAATGTTGTATGAAATCATATTTTTAATTTGAGTAGTTTATCATTTACTTTGAATATACTCATTAAGATATTTCCTATGTTAAGATCACTTATTTAAAGTTACCATGTATCATATCAAAACTGGTGAATGCACTTCCTTTTTATCCTGAAAGTCTAACGCTTATGTAAGACATCCTTCAAGTTCCTTTTAATTATTTTGACTGAGATATTTTATTAGATTTTTTACTCTATTGTTGTCAATAATATTAGCAGAAAATATGTGAATTGAGTGAGTACTGGAGTATGTGTTTGGCATTTAGGCCTAGATATTCATTTAATATTCTCTAACATACAGTGTATATACATATATTAATACATACACATACACACAGTATGTGAGAATCTGCATTTCCATAATTCAGTTTAACCCTTTGACTGTCGCAAGCCCCTTTCTGAAACTGTCATTCTATGTCGAAAAAGTTTTTGAAAAAAAAAAAAATCTTATGAAATGATAGAGAATCTTTTCCCGATGGTAATGGCACCAAAAGTACGAAATTTGGTTGAAAGCTCACAGAATTATGCTCGCACGAAATTAGCGGTCTCGGTGACATATACGCATCGGCAATTTTGCTGACTTTGAGCCCTGTTTTGGGCCAATTCCGTTGTTCCAGTTGACCAAACTCATAGCTATTTCTTTAGAACTCTATTTTTTCTATCAGTTAAGTACAAGAAACCACCCATTTACCAATTTGAACTACCCAATAAAGTGGTCAGAAATTGGCAATTTGGACAATTTCACGCAAATTAAAAAAGATTCCAATTTCAAAATAGGGTCCAGAATAAACAATGTAGACATTCTTGGCACTAAAATAACATATCCTCTGTTCATTAGTCACGTCTCTAGGCCCCTCTTATATTACTATTGCTTTCTATTTTGATTTTTTATTCATACAAAGAAATGCAAAATTTGCTGTTATGCAGACTACTGCATTATTGTAAAAATGGTATAATTAATATCAGTGCACTAATGAAAGAATATTAGACTCCCCAGTTGACGTGTATTGGACGTGTGGTGTAATTTGCTTACTCCTGAACATTGGTAAAAATCGAGCATTTCATTGTGAAAGTAATGAAAATCATCTCTATTTCTGTAATATGTTTTCCATTTTATCACCTGAGACCATGAAAATGAGAATACAACAATAAATACTGTATGAAAATACACCTCAAAGTCGGCGTTTTAATCCAAAAAAATGGTCAGTTTTTTTTTCTCATTATGCACTGCATGCTGCAGGATTTTTTTTATGGGGTGCACACTGACCACACAGACCCATTCTCTCACATATGGGCCTACCATCTTTCTCCCTGCTTGATTTGAAGCTGCTAGAATTTAAGCGTATAAATACGTCAGAAACAGTGGTGCTTAAGACATATATATATGACGTAAACAGTCAAAGGGTTAAATGGGGCTTTTTCTTACCTGGAGAGAAATTGAACTACTTAGTACATAAAACTCTTTACTTCCCTCATTCTGATCATAATTATAAATTAAGCATCTTCAAAGTATTTCAATTTAATACTTATTTATTATGAAGGAAAAAATGAAGGCTTACAAAATTTCTCTCTTAATTATTTTATTTCTGGCATTGCTAAAATTTTATTGCAATATGGATACACAGATCATCATCATCATTCAACAAACCAGCTGTATCCCACCAAGGCAGGGTGGCCCAGAAAGAAAAATGAAAGTTTCCATTTTTAAATTTAGTAATTTATACAGGAGAAGGGGTTACTAGCCCCTTGCCCCTTGCATTTTAGTTGCCTCTTACAACATGCTTGGCTTACGGAGGAAGAATTCTGTTCCACTTCCCCATGGACATAGAGGAAATAAACAAGAACAAGAACTAGTAAGAAAATATAAGAAAACCCAGAGGGGTGTGTATATATATGTTTGTACATGTATGTGTAGTGTGACCTAAGTGTAAGTAGAAGTAGCAAGATGTACCTGAAATCTTGCATGTTTATGAGACAGAGAAAAGACACAAGCAATCCTACCATCACGTAAAACAAGTACAGGCTTCCGTTTTACACTCACTTGGCAGGACGGTAGTGCCTCCCTGGGCGGTTGCTGTCTACCAACCTACTACCTAGAAAAAAATATATGTATATGATTATATAGATAGATATATATACGCTCTGCAGCTGACCAGTATATCCTTCATTTCAATAGAGCCATACAAATTGCAAACCATGACTGTCATTTTTGAGATAGAAGCATAACAGTAAGAGAATAATCCTATGAATACATTTTATCTTGTTGTGTCTGCATGTTTATTTATAAATCTGCATATGTGTGTGTGTGTGTTATGTTGTAAATGGTTTAGAAAACCGACAAGTTGAAGAGTGAGACACTTGTGCAACATTTGGGAATCTTTATTACAGAAATGTTTTGGCAGCCAGTGGCTTCTTCAGTCCAATACAAAGAACAGTGGAAGATGAGGAGGAGTTTGAGGTAATTAATCCTTAGGTAAGTGTTGAAGAATTCCCTGTATCAAGATCCTTAGATGTTTTTGTCTGACAGATACATTGTAAGTGGTTTAGAAAATTGACAAGTTATTGAGAGAGAGACAGTTGTCTCATTCTTCATCTTGTTAGTTTTGTAAACCATTTACATCATAGCTGTCACACACAGCAACATTTTAGGATATTCATACAGGGAATTCTTCAACGTTTGCCTAACCAATAGGCATGACCTACTTACAATAGTGGTATTTTTCATTGGTGACTCTGCCTACTACTACTACTACTACTCCACCTCATCTGTCTACAGTATTTAAGCTCCATCTCTGCAAATGTGCTGCACTTTTTATCAAGATTGATGAACTGAAGTCATGAACTCCAGGCTGAGGGACTGATTATCTCTTCTCCTCATCTTCCACCATTCTTTGTATTGGACTGAAGAAGCCACCGGCTGGTGAAACGTTTCCATAGTAAAGATTCCCAATAATTGCACAAGTGTCTCATTCATGTGTGTTGCCTACTCACTCTCCATGTCTATCCTATGCTGGCTTGGCAAAGTAAGCACTTTAGTGTCATGGGTTTACAGGTTGTCTATTGTTGCACTCAGAGCGTAAAGAATTCCAGACAAGAAGAATAGGAGGAGGATTAGACACAATGAAAAGATAGTTTGTATCGGTGGATCTCTGACATAATGTTTAGCATGCAAAGCAGAGTCAGTTGTGAAATATTGGAGGTCATGTGTAAAGATGGAATGTTTGATAACAATTGGAAATGTGTTGAAGTTCTGGACAGTTAATGTTTTTAAGTTGGTAACATGTATGAGAGATACTTGGAAACTTGTACTATAGTGTGTTACTGGAGGCCTCTGACATTTTTGAGGTTAATAGTACAATGAATAGTTATATTTCACACATGTTCATGCTGCACCTCAACAGTTGCGAAACAATTTTAAAGAGCACATGTGCCATATTTCGCAGCTTATTAGACACTTTTTTTTTTCCATAAAATATCTCCAAAAACCACCCTGCACCCTATAAACTGAAGGTCAGTGACGGGAGCTATAAGTTTGGGGTGTGGAGTGGGCTGTAGCTCTCCCAGTTACGTCCGATGCCGAGCCACTGAAACTAAAACAAGTCTTATAAGCCGCGTAATAAGGTATATAACTTGGAATGTTTGAATGTTGACAACCTCCTGTAATACTGTAATATATTGGTAGCTTACATTTTTTTTAAGGAGTACTGAAGTTAAAATGTCAAACATTTCAGCAAAGAAATATTCATACATTTTGTAAAAATTGGTTGTTGATGCACATAGTAAATATGTATAGTTTATAACATGTATACTGTAATAGTTTGAACTGAGTTAGTTCTAAATTTTATTGACGTAATTGTAATTGTGCATTTGAACGTGAGCTGAAAGTATTTTAATGTAGAAATATATATATATATATATATATATAATGGCAATATTCAGGTGTGAGAGGGCCTGTGGAAGCATGTTTAGGAGAGTCAGTGTCTGATGAAGGAATAATGTTAGGAGTTACATGTATGAAAAGCATTAATGTGTTGCAGCTGCTCAGAAGAACACATGCTGTTTCTTTCACAGTTGTTTACAATCATACACTGTAAAATAAACTTTTAGCCATGTGTGATGAATATTGCACTCTTAGGCAACATATATATAATACTGTAGAAAATATATTCAGTACCTGTTTTTGAATGAGAGATCATGTAAATCAACACACTTAACAGTATTAGGATGTAGGGATTGTCAGTAATTTTGTATATTTCTTGCTGATAAGTGCTGCCAAAAGGTAACTTGTGTGTTGTATAGCTGTGTTGATGTGAGAACTGGCATGAGAAAGTGACTGAAATATGACTGTGCATGAGTGTATAATATAAAGAAGATAATTTTTTATGTAAATTGGAATTCATTGTAAAAAAATTACAAATTAAAACTTCTCAGTTGTGTAAGTAACAAAGTATGAATTTTTCCAAACACTGTGAAGGAAAATATTGCATAATTAATAATGAATCTATAGTGGAGGGAAGGAGGGGATGGGGTCGTCCTAGGAAAGGACGGAGGGAGGGAGTTTAAAGGAGGTTTTGTGTGCAAGGGGCTTGGTTATACAGCAGTCATGTGTGAGCCTGTTTGATAGGGGTGAGTGAAGGCAAATGGTTTTTGGGACTTGATGAGCTGTTAGATGAGCAGGGTAATATTTTGTGAAGGGATTCAGGGAAATCAATTAGCCCGACTTGAGTCTTGGAGGTGGGAAGTACAATGCCTACACTCTAAAGGAGGGGTTTGGGATATTTGCCGTTTAGAGTGATATCTTAACTGTGGTATGTGTGTGCCTCTGGCAAGACAGTGATAGCATGAATGGTGGTGAAAGTGTGTTTTTTTTGGGTCACCTTGCCTCTGTGGGAAACAGCCAGCATGTTAAATGTTGGGAAGGAAGCAGTGAAACTTTTTCTCAAGAACATATGAAAATATGACTAGGTATGAATATGGGTGTATCACATGACTGTATTGGCCTCGCAAAACTAAAACATAGTTGTCACATGGCGAGGTGCTCAGAACTTGTGTGAAACTTGTCATGACCCTTTGATGGTCAAATGCTTTTGGATTGTACCATTTTTCAGAGAGCATGTAGGATTCATTTTCAATGTGTTTTTGAGCACTTGGGTTCTCTCACTTTGCCTGCTCTTCTTTCTACACACACACACACACACACACACACTGTGACTTTGCAACAGACTTAGTGTAAATTTTGACCTTCCTTGTTAGTACATAGTTTATTTATCATGTTACTTCCCTTTGCTGATAGCTCCTGTCAGCTGTGTAGCTCTTTGACCTGCATAAGTTTGGTCCATTTTGTGAATATAATAATAATAGGTGGGTAGAAATCACTAATGTGTCACAAACACACGCAAAATCAAGTTAACTATCTTTAGAGCATGTGTGGTCCAAGAGTGATGAAAAGTTTCACAGAAAAATTTAAGTACAAAGTTTTGACCTAAATTCTAGAGAAGTATATGCTGGTGTATGGCCAAGTGGAATAAAGAATAAATGCAGTAAACACAATGTGGACAAGTGAGTTTGGAGGTGTGAGTGGCATAATTAGTATTATTTTGTAACACGCTGGTTGTCTCCCACTGAAGCAGGGTGACACCAAAAAGAAGAAACAAAAGTGTTCTTCTTTTTACATTTATTAATTTATACAGGAGAAGGGATTACTAGCCCCTTGTTCTTAGCATTTTAGTCTCCTCTTACTACACACATGACATACAGAGGAAGGATTCTTCTCCACTTTCCCATCAAGACTTATTATTATTAGTGGCAATTATTATTATTATTCATGGGGAAACACTAAACCCATAGAGGTTATACAACATAAGGGAATAAGAGGTAATCAAGTTTCATATAAAGAGAGGAAAGCTCCAGTTCCTTGGGTCAAGAGTCCTTCAGTATCAAGATAGTGTCTCTCCTTAAAGGTGTTAGTGTTGAAAGTGAGGATGGTGGTTATGTATAATCAGACTGTCATAATAATCCTATCAGACAATGAATGATGAACACAGTTGTGCAACTTGTGCACACACCTTTTACTCTTCTCACTGGTACACCACTTGTTTTTAATAATAGTAATAAAAATTTTTCTCTATGGGGAAGTGGAAAAGAATCCTCTGTAAGCCTTGTGTGGTAAGAGGCATCTATAATGCCACAAGCTAGGGGCAAGTTACCCCTTCGTCTGTATAACTTACTAAATGTAAAGAAAAAAAAAAAGACTTAATTTTTACGTTACTCTGCTTCAGTGAGAGACTGCCAGTGTTGAAAAAAAAAAAAAATGACTGTGAAAGTGCTGCCTATACCAGTATGGAACTTAGCTTTTTAAATAGAGTAGATGCTACGTGTATGAAATTTTTTCCACCTGATGATGCTTTTCTTTCCTGGCTGGGATACTTAGTAAGAACATTGTCTATGAAGGTTTGTGTGTGTGTGAATATGAAACAATGAAGCAAAACATTTAAGTGCCATAAAAGGAAGAAAGATAATTGGATATCAGATAATTCCTCTTAATCTAAAATTTATGATAAATTTAAATAAATTGTATGGTACTGGATGGTGAGAAAGAGGAAATCAGAAAATTTGAGTTAGGTAAACATAAAATGTTAAAATTATGATGGATTATAAGATTGCATGGGTTTAATGTATGTTCGTTAATATAATCAACAACAAAAGACTGACTTAGAAGACTAACTCAAGGAAAAGTTACATAAGGTTACACAGCCAACAAAAGAGCCATATCTGGATACAGGGAGGCCCTGCTTGTACTGCCAGTTAGCTTCTAGGCATCTGCTGTAAAGCAAAAATTACTCTAAAGTGAAACGGCTTTTTTTTCCACTTTCAGATGCGTATAGAAGCCTGATTACACTATCATATATTAATATATTAAGTAAGCAATAGAGCTAAGCCTAAAAAATGCTTATACAGCATACTTACCTTAAAATATTCTCATCCTTAGCATATAGTGAGGGGTGAATATATTTATTGTAGGAAGTTTGAATAATGAAGAATGGTTGTTTGAAACCGCTGCATTAGCAAAATGCCGTAAATGAAGCACTGTAAAAGAGGGCCTGCCTGTATATTTTTTTTTAAATTCTTGAAATAGGCTTTTAGGTGAAAAGAAAGTTTTTGCTAGTTGTGCAGAAGTGGAAAGAAAAACTAAGGATCTTGTAGTTTTGTTGTATTAAAGTTAACAAGAAAAGGTGAGTGATCTGAAAGTGAAACACTCAAGTTGTTGGTATAAGAGTGATGCATGGAGTTTTTCTGGTTCATGTATAGTGTAGGTGCAGGTAGACACACACCAGAGTAAAGCTCACAGCTAGGTGCAGGTAGACACACACCAGAGTAAAGCTCACAGCTAGGTGCAGGTAGACACACACCAGAGTAAAGCTCACAGCTAGGTGCAGGTAGACACACACCAGAGTAAAGCTCACAGCTAGGTGCAGGTAGACACACACCAGAGTAAAGCTCACAGCTAGGTGCAGGGAACACACACCAGAGTAAAGCCACAGCTAGGTGCAGGTAACACACACCAGAAGTAAAGCTCACAGTAGGTGCAGGGAGACACACCCAGAGTAAAGCTCACAGCTAGTGCAGGTAGACACAAAAACCAGAGTAAAGCTCACAGCTAGGTGCGGTAGACACACACCAGAGTAAAGCTACAAGCTATGCAGGTAGACACACACCAGAGTAAAGCTCACAGCTAGGTGCAGGTAACACACACCAAGAAAGCTCACAGCTAGGGGCAGGGAACACCACCAGAGTAAAGCTCACAGCTAGGTGCAGGTAGACACACACCAGAGTAAAGCTCACAGCTAGGTGCAGGTAGACACACACCAGAGTAAAGCTCACAGCTAGGTGCAGTGCACAACCTAGTAAAGCTCACAGCTAGGTGCAGTACACAAACCAAATAAATCTCACAGCTAGGTGCAGGTAGACACACACCAGAGTAAAGCTCACAGCTAGGTGCAGGTAGACACACACCAGAGTAAAGCTCACAGCTAGGTGCAGGTAGACACACACCAGAGTAAAGCTCACAGCTAGTTTTCAGGAGACCCACCAGAGTAAACTCACAGCTAGTGCAGTAGACACACCACCAGAGTAAAGCTCACACTAGTCAGTAGACACCCCACAGAGTAAAGCTCACACTAGGTGCAGTAACACACACCCAAATAAAGCTCACAGCTAGGTGCAGGTAGACACACACCAGAGTAAAGCTCACACCTCATAATTCAGACGCTTTAAGTGAGAACAACTTTTATTTTACTATGCATTTGTTTTCATATTTTTTTTACAAGAAGAATTAGACTTGTAAACCTCTTCTTAAAGGTTGACTTTTTTCATCAGCAACCTTGAGGTAGACTTTGTTCATTTGAAAAACCTGAGGTGACTTTGTTCATCAACCTTAAGTTGAATTTTGTTCTCAACAATATATCGTCAAGATTGGTATTTCTTTCTCTCTCGTTTCCCTCTCATTCTCTCTCTGCTCTGTCTCTCTCTGTCTCTGTCTTTTTTTTTTTATAAAACAGGGTTTGACAAGTTTTAAACCCTTTGAGGTCACAAGCCCTCTCTGAAACTCTTTGTTCTCAGGTCGCCAAATTTAAAAAAAAAAAAAAAATTTCTCCTTTTTGAAAAGATAGAGAATCTTTTCCCGATCATAAAGACACCAAAAGTTTGAAATTTATAGAAAACTTACGAATTATGCTCTTGCAAAGTTAAACGGTCTCGCGATGTTTACGCATCGCATTTTTCCCACTTTGAGCCCATTTTTCGGCCAATTTCACTGTACTAGTCCCACAAAAAACATGAATTTTCGATAGAACCCTCCATTTTTTCTATCGAATGGGTGCAAGAAACCACCCATTTATGAAATTCAACATCCAGTACAGGGGCAGAATTAGCAAATTTGCCAATTTCACACAAATTTTAAAAGATCCAAATTTTCCCAATAGGTCCAGAATAAACAAGAAAGACATTCTGCACTAAATGACATTTCCTCTATCTAGTCACGTCTCAAGGCCCCTCTTTATTCTGCCCCCTTTGAATTTTATTTTCAAAAAATATAAGATTTACTGTTATGCAGACTACTGCATTAGTGTAAAAAATGGGATAAATATTATGGTGCACTTTTGAAAGAATATTTGACTCACCAGTTTTACTGTATTGCAAAAACTTGGCAAAGATTTGTTTACTTTTGTAAGTTTGTAAAAATCGAACATTTCGCTACTTTTTACTCAATTTAAGGGACCTTTCTTGTAAAACTAGTCAAATCATCTCAGTTCGTAATATGCTTTCCCTTTTATAAAATGAGACAGAAAACTAGAATACAACAAAAAATACCATAAAAGAAAAAAACACTGCAATCCTGTTTATTAAAAAAAAATGGTCAAAATTTTTTTTTTTTCATTAGCACTGTGT